AGTCCAAACATCATTTTATCAGATGCTGATAGTGAGTTTATCCGTTTATCCTGACACTTGCAGTGGTTTTGCCAGCTGTTTTCAATAGAAAGTGGCTCAAAAACTCTAAACTGTCAGCTCTTTACTTACTTTTTCTTGCTCATATACTGTATTTTAATATAATATATAGGCGGATGTCCCCTGTCAAATAACAAAACAATTGTGATATAGGGACTGACAACATGTTAACCAGCAGTCCTAAAAAGTCGCTAAATTTGCAATTTCCTTTTATATTTCTATGGCTACTCAAAAGGGTCATGATAATACATTTTATTACTATTATTTTATTATTACTATTATTTCCTGAGGTCCATCTACAATGTTAGTACAGTCATGATTTAGTAGTACATGACCTGTCAACCCTTTTAATTATATAACTGATTCACCTTCATGTTGTACTTAAACCTGTAGGACATTCTGTTTTGTACAGAGAAGATTTTAAAGGAAACTTTTTACATTTTCAGTAAAAAGTACATTTTAAATGTTTTTGCCAATAAAATGAAAGCAAGTTTGGACACCAAGACATTTACAAAAAAAATACCTTTCATCCACAGAAGAATGAAAGTCATACAGTCTTGGATTAAAAAAATAAGAAAGTAAAATTTGATTCCTCGCGTTTTTTAATCTCTCTAATTCATGTGTATTTGCATTTGCAGTGGAGGAGGCAGTGGAGCAGTCCCATTTCGCCCTCTTCTTCAACCAAGGCCAGTGCTGTTGTGCGGGCTCTCGCACATACGTACAGGAGAGCATCTACAACGAGTTTGTGGAGCGAAGTGTGGAGAGAGCTAAGAAGAGGGTCGTGGGAGACCCTTTCGACTTGAAGACTGAGCAGGGCCCACAGGTGAGCGAGCGAGCGATTGAGTGAGTGAGCGAGTGAGTGAGTGAGCAAGTCAGCGAGTGAGCGAGTGATTGAGTGAGTGAGCGAGTGAACAAGTGAGTGAGTGAGCGAGTGATTGAGCGAGTGATTGAGTGAGCGAGTGAGTGAACGAGTGAGTGAGCGAGTGATTGAGTGAGTGAGCGAGTGAACGAGTGAGTGAGCGAGCGAGTGAGTGAGTGAGTGAGCGAGTGAGCGAGTGAGCGAGTGAGTGAGTGAGCGAGTCAGCGAGTGAGGGAGTGATTGAGTGAGTGAGCGAGTGAGTGAGTGAGTGAGTGAGCGAGTGAGTGAGCAAGTGAACGAGCGAGTGAGTGAGCGAGTGAGTGAGTGAGCGAGTGAGTGAGTGAGTGAGCGAGTCAGCAAGTGAGCGAGTGAGTGAGTGAGCGAGTGAGTGAGCGAGTGAGTGAGCGAGTGAGTGAGCGAGTGAGTGAGTGAGCGAGCGAACAAGTAAGTGAGCGAGTGAGTGAGCGAGCGAACAAGTGTGTGAGCAAGTGAGTGAGTGAGCGAGCGAACAAGTGTGTGAGTGAGTGAGCGAGCGAACAAGTGAACAAGTGAGTGAGCGAGTGAGTGAGTGAGCAAGTGAACAAGTGAGTGAGCCAGTGAGTGAGTGAGCAAGTGAGTGAGTGAGTGAGTGAGCGAGAGAGCAAGTGAACAAGTGAGTGAGCGAGCTCCGCCCCCTGTGCCGGGAGCAGCAGCTCATTTGCATTTAAAGGGACACACAAAAACGCTGTGTTTTTGCTCACCCTCAAAAAGTGTCAATTTTAACATGCTATATAAAAATATCTGTGGGGTATTTTGAGCTAAAACTTCACATACACACTCTGGGGACATCAAAGCCTTATTTTACATCTTGTGAAAAGGGCATTTTACCACCCCTGACCCCTTTAAAAGAACATAAATGTAACATATTTTTGAATCACTCAATCAAGATCATGTATTTCTTCTCTGTACTCCAGGTCGATGAGGAACAGTTCCAGAAGATTCTTGGCTACATCAGCAGTGGGAAGCGCGAGGGAGCCAAGCTCATGTGTGGCGGGGGGGCGGCAGCTGATCGCGGATACTTCATCCAGCCCACTATCTTCGGGGATGTTAAGGATGACATGACAATTGCTCGGGAGGAGGTGTGTGTGTGTGTGTTTCACTTTTTAACGTATTACTAGGGAAAGGCCCTATTACCATCTAGTGCGGTTCCATTCTTCTTTTTTTCCCAGATGTGCTTGTTTAATATTTCCTGCTTAATAATCAGTCCTAATTAATTAACTGTTAATAACGACAATGAAAAAATTTTAAATGTTAAAGTTCAATCATGAAACTCTAGGGGGCGCAGGCTGATCAGTCCTTTGCATGCAATCCGTGAGCACTCACATCATTACCACATGGCACAAGCTGATTGGCTCTGCTGATCCAGCAGCCAATGAGATTGCTTGCTCAACATTTAAATAGTCTGGTTCAGGGTTGGCTGTAAGCTTGTTATGCAGTGTGCTCCTTCAGCTACAGGATTTATGGACATCAGCAGCATATTTTACGCAGTGTAATAATATTGATATAATAATATTGCACAGTTTATGGCATTCTGGTCTGCACACAGATGGGTGGTATAAGATGTACATCTAGTAAAATGATATAACATGCTATTCCCTTTCTGTACTGTTAGATCTTTGGCCCTGTAATGCAAATTCTGAAGTTTAAATCTCTAGAAGAAGTGATTGAGAGAGCCAACGACAGCAAATATGGCCTTGCAGCAGCTGTTTTTACCCAAAACATTGAAAAGGCCCATTACATATCCAATGGCCTGCGTGCTGGCACTGTGTGGTAAGTGTGTGAGGTGCGCTTTGTTATCTTAAAGAAAATAGATATCTTGGATATTGGAATATCAGACCTCTTGTTCACATGAGGCTTGTTCTTGTGATTTGATTTGATTAGGATTAATTGCTACGACGTGTTCAGTGTGCAGGCTCCCTTCGGAGGCTACAAGGCCTCAGGGATTGGTCGTGAGTTAGGACAGTACGGACTTGACAACTACACCGAGGTCAAAACGGTAAGGTTTTACCATCAGGAAAACAAAAGTGCGCTCATTATTCATAATTCACTCATTGTAAACTTTAAATGTTATGCTTATATCTGGATTATAATCTAAAATAATGCCAAAGTGATTGACTGCTTTTACAGTTTCTTATTTCAAATTGTCAAGTAGGTTATTATTAGGCATTTATTAATGTGTTTATTTGGGCAATGATCTGTAAATTGCAGATATCATTAACTATGCACTCATTTTTATTTACTAACTCTTTTCCTCCACAGGTTACAATTAAGGTCCCTCAGAAAAATTCATAAATGGAGAAATTCATTTAGAGAAGCCGTCATCGAACGATTTGAGCTGTGACGGACATTATTGAAATGAACATTACTCTTTAAATTTATTTCATTAAATCAAATAATGTCTTAATGTGTACTGAGAAAAAAATAAATAAATATTACTTTATTTTTTATGTATAATCATCATATATATACATACACACACACGATTAGTACATACAAAATAAACTTCTTACAATTATAAGTTACGGAAGTTTTTTGATTATCCATCTGATTTGTGTAATAAATGGTCCAATTATTTTTATAATTTTTTTTTCCTCATTCATTTATTCTTAATTTGCATAAATATTTGTCCTTTTATGATTAGATTTTTTGTAATAACATGCAGAAGAAAATAAATGAATATCAAACAGTAACAGTCTCTGTGATATTGCAGCATTTATTGTTAGATATGATTTGATGACCTGCAAAAGAAACAAAAATAAATTGAAAAATGTTTGGTTTCACAGATTAAACATTTATTTATTTATACTTTATGTTTGTTCATTTTAGAACAAATTTGTATTCTCTCCTTCATCATGAACACCATACTCTGTTAAATATGGTAAAACTAGTGTTTTTTGTGTTAATAGATGGATATGCTAATCATTTAGTGCTAGGATATTACTATAGGCAAATCCCATTTGACGTATTTGTTAATTTAATTAATTTTTGTGAAATTCCTAACGCATTTGTGAATCTCATTCTATTCATTTGTGTTTTGTTTTTTGTAGTTGTTTTTTTGTGAATCTACATTTAATTCAGGATGGGAATCTATTTATCTGGAAATATGAACCAATTCTTACCCTGTATATTACTGTGGTAAACTAAAAACACAGTACCATTAGTATCATTGAGATACTATTATAGTTTGTATCAATATTTTTAATTTGTTTCAAAAAATTATGGTTTAAATTTTTGTTAACTATAATAATACTGGTATAAAACACGTTTCACACATTACAATGACAATCCAGTAGTTGACATATTCCCTTATTGAATCAACAAGAACTTACTACTGCAGATTTAAAACCTACGAAGTTTTAGTCATAAAAAAGTGGGAATTTCATAGCGATGCCGTAGAAGAAACATTTTCCTAGAGTAGATACTAAAGAACTTTTTTCCACTGTTTTAAGCTTTTGAGCCGTGGCAAAGGTTTCATTCAGCCCAATGAAAAGCATATTTACACTGTCTGAATCGTTCCCTATCCCCTAAATAGTGCACTATGTGCCATTCACCATGTAGAAAATAGTAGATGTGTGAACAAGTGACTGATTTTAGCCACAGCTTCAGCATCTATTTATAATGTAAGGGGCGGATCTTCAGATTCTAGAGAGCATTTGATTGGACAGAAAATCTGATGAAGCAGAAGTGCAGTGATGTCATCAAAATCATTGAGAGACTAGTTTTGACTGCTTATATCTTCTAAATTCGAATTCTGTCATTGTTTTATAGATAACCGTCAGTAAGACCAACATATTAAAACTACTAAAAGCTAAAAAAAAAAAATTGATTTTTTTGATTTCATGAGGACTTTCGTTTTTTTATTTATTTTTTTGGTAATTGGATTCAAAGGTAATATACTAAAAAGTATAATGTTATAAATGTACATACATACACATATAATATTAAAAAAACGTGATTTACGATACTGATGACCGTTAAAAAACGCGTCATCGTCACACTATGTGAAAGCTCGCGCTCCTCTCCGTTAGGCGGCGGAATGAGCCTGGATCTCTTGCTTTGCAGAATGTGGCGTGTAATAAAGAAGAAAAATCTTCCTCAGCTTTGGATCAAAGGTAGCACTAGCACCTTAGCAAACAACCCCAAGATAGTATTTGGCCTCTATGGTGCTTTTCAAAACACTGTAAAGCGCTGAATCCTGATCAGGCCAGCGACGTTATCAGAACTAGCACGCGCATGTGACGCCATGAGAGCGAGAATTAGCATCTGCTGTGAGCTCATGCTACATAGCTAGCTGCTTCTAATAGGCATTACCTTTAACTCTTTTTTGTCCTTCGTCGGTTTAGTTACTCAGTTGTCAACAACATTGTAGTCAATACTGGTTGGAGGTACAATAGCTTCAACGGTGGATAGTCTGCGGTACTTTTGCCTGTGAATGTGTAGCTAAGATGTTAGCCGAACACGCATAGCCTTGTGACATTTAATGCCAGTTCTGACAAAGAAAAGCTCTGGTGTTCAAAAGTTCATCGGACAGCATGGGAATAAAACACGAGACGGCATCTTAGCGCTTAGTAGACTTCGTTCAACATCACGATTTTGGTAAGATCGCACCTGTACGAGCCTGTTGAAGCCAGAAAGAGAAGATCACGATTAACATCATGTCCGAGGACACCATCGTGGACAGGTTCATTAAGGTAAGCTGGCTAATTCATGGACATAAAGTAAACAGTTCAGTCTTTCCATTTCTGTAACTTCTAATAACTGTATTTCCATTAAATGACGAGTTCCACTAATGAACTGCTGTCTGTAAGTTACATTGTCTTGCATGTCACACGGCTACTAACCTAAATAAATAAATCAGAACATTGACATGACATATCAATTTGAGTTAAATTTGTTTATCTGTGTAATACATTAAATATTCCACCAAGAAAACAATTTAATAAACAAAACAATCCCAGTAACAGTATTGCAGTCAGAATATTACAGTATGTTGATGTCATCTGAGGTCATTTGCACTGCAATGCATCACTGAGACGCACGGTGGCGCCACTTGGGTTTAATTGAAACTGGAGTAGATTTGTCATTAGTGACATATTTAATTTTTTTTTTTTTTTTTTTTTTTTAGATAATGATGATTGTATAACAAATAATGAATAAGTACATGTATATCTGAAGTTGCTATATCAGTACAAAGAATACGCATCCTTTTCAAAGTGTGATCATACAATTAAAGGGATACTCCAGTTTTTTGGCAATACGCTCATTTTACAACTCCCTCAGAGTCAAAACAGTTGGGTTTTACCATTTTCGAATCCGTTCAGGCGATTTTCTGATTTTTAGAAGAATATCAGTAACCAGACAGTTTCTGGTCTCATTGACTTGTCAATAGAGATAATACTCTATTTTAATAGTCCTAGACGTCAGTGTTTATATCCAGACTATAAACAATTATCCCAGTCGGCTACTTGTTTTTTGGTTGTGTTTTGTAATGGAAATAATGATACTGTGACTGTGTGGTTGAAAAGACCAATGCTGGTTAGATTACTAACAAATTATTGTTTCCAAATTGCATGACAAATTGTAATTGGTAACTTTGTTTACTTTTAAGATTACTGATTCTTTTTGGTTTTGAGAATAATCTCATTGCAGCAAATAAATTCAAAAGGGAGATATCAGTGAATAATCAACTTGTTATAATTAATTATAAATATTTGGATCAGTTGAATTATCTTGATGTTAGGGATGCACGATATATCGGCCAGCATATCGGTATCGGCCGATACATGTTCTTTTTTAATGTTATCGTTATCGGCCTGGTAAGAAAATTTGGCTGATATATTAAAGCCGATAAATAATGCATTATTCCCTTCAGCTGAGACACTTGTTGAGAATGTTTTTGAATTTCTTGAAATATGATTGAAATCTCTTCAAAAAATGAAAATATGGTTCGGGACAACATCTGTCATATCGGCTATACAACACTATAATGAGAACATCATTATAATTGTGCGCATGGATTTAATTGTGAGACTTTTGTTTTTGTAATCAGGCTCTCAAAATTAGATAAAAATTTGGATTTAAGTTTATCGGCCGATATATCGGTTATCGGCTTTCAAATATAAAGAATTATCGGTTATCGGTATCAGCCAAAATTTTCATATCGGTGCATCCCTACTTGATGTAGCTTAATTTATACTACAATCAATTAATCTGTTTGTTCCGCGACCACTCAGTATTGATCATCTACCAATTTTGTGGCCACAGAAAAATAACTCCTTCTTAGCATTAGGGTTGGGTATCGAGAATCGAGTATCGATTGGAACCGAGACTAACTTTTCGTTTTTCCCGTAATTGTTCAAAAGTAAAAATTTCGATTCGTAGTTTCGATATTCACAGTCCGCCGAGCGGAAGAAGAAACCGCGAACAACACCAACGAAGAAACGTCTACCGGAAGTGTTGGCATAACCACGCGAGTCGAACATGAGTACCTTACATCGGCGATCCAACGTAAAGTGTGGCTTCACTTTTCTAAAAATAACGAAATCTCGGCAAAATGCTAAATTAGTGACAAAAGGAGTATTTTTACAGAAGGAGTATTTCCTTCAGAAAGGCCGTTGGTTAGCAAGGTTAGCTAAACTTTTTTGACCCTGCCTCTTAAAAGAATCAGAATCGAGAATCGTTAGGAACCGGAATCGAAACAAGGAATCGGAATCGGAATCAGAATCGTTCAAATTCAAACGATACCCAACCCTACTTAGCATGTAGCTTTGATCGCATTGTACGATACTTGCAATGCCTTATGCCTGGTTCAACTTCAGATTACACGATTTTGGCACGATCCGTTTGTGGTAGGGTGTCGTGGGGGATTCGTAAACGACAACGGGCGTCGGGACACAAAATTTGTATAGTGTGTGTCATAGCGGACGATAACTGACGCCTTGTCTGTGATGCTTTTTTCGGTCCTCCACGACAGTTTCCGTCAGGAATTTGTGTATGTGCATGTATGTGTGCGTCACGTGTGAGTAAATGTGAATGAGTGAGTGCGCGTCATATTGAGTGAGTACGCGCAATCTGACACAATGGCTATCGTAACAGACCAAAAAATCGTGTAATCTGAACCAGGCATTAGCCGTTGAACAGGCGTCCGGATGCAATCTCAGGAGAACTCTTGATGGCTCAGCAAGTCGATGGTGTTGAAGTTGCGATCGATCACGAAGAAATGACGATGAACTTGCCGTGTTAGATTGACCGTAATGGTGGAGGAACATACAGTGGTTGTAACTTGAGGCCCCTCCGGCTGCGCACCGGGGGAAAGGTCCCGCAGTCGGACTGGATGTCCCCACTCTTTTCACACAAACAGCAACCAGGAGGAGGAGGAAGAGGAGAAGGGTCAGTGGGACTTCTGTGGAGGTCACTCCTCCAGGGGGTCAGTGAGCCGATGTTAACTTAAACTTTCGAAGGAAAAGTTTATGACCCTTTGAGCATGGTGTTTTGCATATCAGAGTGGGCTGGCAATTTGTGTCCTTTCATACTTTGCGAATTAATTTACTTTAAATTAATTACGAATTAATATAACAATAATACAATGCTTGCTATGAGGAGGTGATGTACACCAGTGTTTCTCAACTGGTGGGTCGGTCAAAGAAAATTTTTTTTTTTTTTTTTTTTTTTCTGAAGCAAGACTTTTATTTTGAAACATATGTGTAAAAGCTGTTCTGTCAAATACAGATACTCAGTATCTTCAGTCAGAAGAGATCTTGTCAGGCTACATGTCAGTAGTAGGCGCGTTTCCATTACAGATTTGCGCAAAACTTTTGTTCTAACTATCAATAAAACTATTTTGAATTGACGGCGTTACCAATCGATGTTATGCGACCAAAACGATTTTTATTTCGTCATGGAAGGTTTATATATATCAGAGCACTAGACATTATTATTATTATTAATGGAAGGAGACGTGGTGTTATCCAAGCACACGTTATTCGCCAGCGTTTTTTTGTGTTCACACGCAAGCGATTTTCGTTGACGATGACCCGAGTGAACATGCAAATTCATTCCCTGATATTAGATGGCGCTTAATGCAAAACCGAAGTACCCCGGAACACAAGGTGGCGCTGTGCAACTGTACACTTCTGATACTCGCTTGTCACTCAGAGGAAGAGAGCAAATGTTCCGACAACAACGAGACCAGCAGCTCTACATTCATCTTGCCTTGCGTCTTCTTCGTCTTATTTCTTTCCGGCAGTGTAGACGCTACTTGGCGTATATCTCCTTCGCCGTTACGTATGGGTGCTCGGCAAGACCGTTTTGTGTTTGAGCACCCCCAAGTTGTGTTTTACTGTAACTTCAGAAGCTCATGACATGTGAGCGAAAGGGCCAATCTCATTGGTCGGATAGTTTTTGAGGCAGCGTGTCAAACAGCGCAGTCTCACCCCAAAAAGTCATATAACTGACGTTTTGGGACGTCTTTTGACCATACGTCAATATTCGCCTTTTTAGGGCCCCCTTAAACGTCGGTAGATGAGGTTTTGGGATCCTAACTCTACCCCAGACCTAAACCTAACCCGTCACCTAACTGACGTTAAAGGTAAAGCGTCAGTTGTATGACGGCCCGGGATCGCCATCTAGCAACGTTTAAGGGGGCCCTAAAAAGGCGAATATTGACGTATGGTCAAAAGACGTCCCAAAACGTCAGTTATATGACTTTTTGGGATGAGAATGTGTTGTCAAACCAAAAAAACAAACCGGAGGCGGTTTTAAAAAAAAAAAAAATGACGCTTTTATGCGTGGCGTTTTTCACGTCGGTGTGCGCACTCACATTGGCGTCCTTTGTTTAGTCACAAAGCTTTAAACGTCAGCGAAATTCATCCCGGTGTGAACAGGCCTTTATACTGTGAACGGCACATATGAGGAGTTTCTCTGTTTCTCCCTCGTTTCCGCTCCGAGGTCTTGATTGTGACATTTCTTTGAGGTTTAGAATCCAGTACTCCTGTAATTCTTTTGTCTTTTATGAATTTAATAAAGAACTCTATCTCACAACACGCCATCTAAGTCAGCTGTCTGTAAATGCGCCAAAACTGTTTCCATTGCAGTTTTGCGAAATATTCCTTTTTCAAATTGCCTGAAAAACCACTTCATCATGCGAGCGTGTAAACTCTTTTTTGCGATAAACAGAATTTTTTGACGTGTTCTCAATTTGCGCAATTTGAAGGGTAATGGAAACGCGGCTAATGTATTCTAACTTAATTTTCGTAACTTGTACAAGCGTCACAGTTGTCAATTAATGTACCAATAAATTACGCCACTGCTACGTGTGTTTGCTGTGAACGGTTTGCAAGCAGGTTTGGTGTTCATACTATTTATCAGATTCAGTGTCTGTATGTTTTATTAACAGTTCATGCTAGTATCGTGTATTTATTTCCATGGTAAAATACCACTTTATTTTCACTCAGTGTTTTTTTTATTTTATTTTTTATATGTTTTTAAATGACTATTGTGGCTCATACCAACTTAATTTTATTGTATTAACAAAAAAGCTACTGACTGCTATTTAATGGCTTAAAATGTATGCAAGTGTGTTAAGTTAGGTGGGACAGTACTTGTTTTATAATATTTTTAGGTCTGTCAAACGATTAATCGCGATTAATCGCATCCAAAATAAAAGTTTGTGTTTACATAATATATGTGGGTGCACTGTGTATAATTATTTTATATATATATATAAATACACACACATGCTTGTATATATTTAAGAAATATTTTCATGTATATACTGTAGATTTATATTATATATAAATATAAATATTTTATATATAAATAATATTTTTTTCTTAAATATACATGCATGTGTGTGTATTATTTATTTATATATATATATATATATATTCAAAATAATTATACACAGTGCGCACACATATATAATGTAAACACAAACTTTTATTTTGTATGCGAATAATCGTGATTAATTGTTTGACAGCCCTAAATATTTTATATATATATTTAGGAATTAGGTTTCAATGGCTAAAAAAAACGGGTCATGGGAAAATGGCCCATGGTCAAACCAGTTGAGAACCACTGATGTACACCGATGTGTAGGACATTAAATGAGGATTATTTTTATAGGAAACTTGGTATAGATGAGGCTACATTAACAAGTGGTTCTATCATAAAGCATGCATAAAACAGTATACAATACAAAAGACACTGTACAAGACAGAGATAATCTTACACACGATGTCCTGGAGATATGCATGTTCATTCATAGAAGGTTTGTGTATGAATTAATGGAAAGCAGTGGTTTTATATGGGCCTTGTGTGTCTTTACTATGGCCTGTGCTTTTGCTTGTGGCCACCTTCCCTCACCTGGGATGTCTCTGATGTCCACTAGTTGATGGACTAGTGTCAGCCAGGGGGAAAAACTGATAATGATGATCAGTGGAAGAGCAGACATCTCGGCGCCGGCTTGGACCGCTGCTTGTTACGGTCTTGAGGCGTCTGTTGGATTATTCATTAAATATAATGAATAATTGTGTCTGATTGGTCCAGATGCTACATCATGATTCCCAATTCAGAAACCAACCATTACCACTTATATTGCAATAATCAATTATATGTAATGCGTAATATATAATAATGTTGATGGAGTGAATTGAATGAACTGTTCCTGAACGATCTGTGTGTTCTTGTTATAGGAAACATCCATCCTGGAAGAGTATAACATCAATTGGACACAGAAGCTGGGAGCTGGGATCAGTGGTCCTGTCAGGTATGTGGCTATGTCCAGTTTGAAGGGTCATGTGACCCTTGACCACAATTTAAAAAAAAAATTAAATTGAGATTTATAAATCATCTCAACACTGAATAACACTGAGCTTTCCATTGATGTGTGGTTTGTTAGGATATGACAATATTTGGCCGAGATGCAACTATTTGAAAATCTGTGGGTGCAAAACAATCGAAACTTTGAGAAAGTTGTCCATTATGTTCGTGATTGTTCTGCATTCACTCACAAAAATAAGCGTTTTATGTATTTACTGTAGGAAATGTTCAAAATATCTTCATGGAACATGATGTTTACTTAATATCGTAATGATTTTTGGCATGAAAGAAAAATCTATCTTTTTTTTTTTGACCCATAGAATGTATTGTTGGCTATTGCCACAAATATACCCGTGCGACTGGTTTTGTTATCCAGGGTCACGTATTTGTGTAAAATAAAGAGTTGTACTGTATGTGTTTTCCTGTAAACCGCATAATCCTCCACTAGCAGATGTAGTTATTAGCCTCTTTCCCACTGTAGATGTAGGTGTGTGTTTTCAAAGTTAAGCCAAAATAGTTTTGGTGGACTGAAATCTTTTCCTGAAACATTGGGGGAAAAAAAGTAGAAAGAAGTTTTGCTAAATATAAAAGTCCACCTTCAGCTTGAGGTTTACATGTCTTTTTGCTGTGATATCTTTACTGATTTTGTTTTTTTAAAACGCAAGAATAGCTTTTGGTAACACTTTAGTTTAGGGTCCAATTCTCACTATTAACTAGTTGCTTATTATTAACATGCATATTACTACTCATTAGTTCTTATAAAGCCTTATTCTGCATGACCATATTCTACATCCCCAAAAAGTGTTTTGAATTTTAAAAAATCACAGCTTCATCTGAACGTTACAAAACTTGGTGACTTTTATGGCATTATGTATGTGAACACACAAAAAAATTGAGGTCATAATCTGAGCATGCTAAGTGGCCTTAAAAAAATAGTCACACTTGTGGTCTTAGGTCAAAAATGACCCCCATAGGAAATGAATGGGAAATTGGTAAGAACACAAAAATTCACAAATTTTTATTATTATTTTTTTTTTTACATTTTTTTTTTTTAAATAAAAAATCTTTTTTGAGATTGTTTAAACTATATTCAAATCCACAAAAAAAAAAATGTGTTCATAAATTCACATGCTGGGGAATTCACATGCCTCTCCATAGAGAGCTGTACATGCCATCTAGTGGTTACACCATGATTCTACGCTTTTTCTCTATACTGTAACCAGATGGTGCTAATTTTCTTCAAATTTTTTTTTCTGAAGGTCTAGACTCTATATTAAACTAAAATACTGGATTAATAATTTTTTGAAAAAAATAATATATATATAGAAAAATATATATATTTTCCATGGCAAAAATAGACCATAAATATTAATAAATTCAATCAAATTGTCTCAAAATACTAAATTACAAAGAAGAAATATTATAGAACAAAAATAAATTGCATTGGTTTTACTGGGATGGAGGAAATTTAATTTTTAGGTGTCCGGTCACTTTTGACCGGGAAGATAACATGTGTGACTCCGAAACGAAGAGCACCTGAGGGTTAAAAAAACACCTTGAAAAAACACAAATGCAAACTTTTTTTGTTGCCTAAAAGTTCATTTTAAAAAGTTTTTTTTTTATTACAATTATTTATATCGACCAGACTTTACTGGGTTGAGACATTAACTGATGAATTGATGTTTTTGTTTTTCAGGGTATGTGTGAAGAAGTCGACACAAGAACGGTTTGCCCTTAAGATCTTGATTGACAGACCCAAAGCACGCAATGAGGTAGTGAGCCCTGTGTGCATGATTTAATGACTTGTATTTGAAGAACTTGTCTTTCTTTTCATGTTAGAGGTTAAAGGGATACTTCACCCAAAAATGAAAAATTAAGTAATTATTTATTCAATTCTGTTGTTCTAAATAATGTTGAACACCCCTGTTTCTTTTATGGACCTTTTTTTTTATGTTCCGCTTGTGCTCGTCCATATGGCAAACTTTAAAAAAAAAAAATGCAAAAGTATCATCACAGGAGTGCGTAAATAAATAAATTCTCCTTTTGTGGTCCATTAAAGAAAGAAGGGCATAAGGCATTAGAACAACACTTTTCTTAGTAAATGACTTAATTTTCATTATAAAGTGAGCTATCCCTTTAATAACAGCATCCATCTGTCTCTAGCACAGGCTGTGAAGTTGAATTTGAAATGTCAGACTTTACAACACATCTTTAAATGAACATCTTACACTTTATTTGCAGGTTCGGCTTCATATGATGTGTGCCTCTCACACCAACATTGTTAAAATAATTGAGGTGTATGCCAACAGTGTACAGTTTCCTCATGAATCCAGTCCAAGGTAGTGGAGTGCAACATGTGCAGTTTTAAGACAGTGTTTCCAATGATCTAACTACCTACAAATATAAATAATCTGTTTTCTTTACCTCTTTTTGAAAGGGCAAGGTTATTAATTGTCATGGAAATGATGGAAGGTGGCGAGTTGTTCCACAGAATAAGCCAGCACAAGCACTTTACAGAGAAGATGGCCAGCCAGGTCACAAAACAGGTAGAGCAATCATGGTCCATATAGGCCACGTTATGATTTTTTATTATTATTATATTTAATATTATAAAAAATGTGCACAGAGCAGTACAGGTTCATACGAGGATGATAACTATGATAAAGATAAATATATAGTATTTAGGGATGCGCCGATATGAAGTCTTTACATTTGAAAGCTGATTGACCAATAAATCTAAATTCAAATTTTGATATACTTTGAGATAAAGCTTACTATTGAAAGTCATGTCCCAAACACTTCAAAATAAATCATACACATTCAATACAGTAGCTTAGTTTGAATAGATTCCTTAACTTTTAAAGTGAATTTTGCACTCATATGGCCAAATTTCTTTATTAAAAAATGGTAATGCTTTATAATGTTTCATTTAGTCGGCATTAGTTAACGTGGTCCAAGACTGAACAATACTTCTACAGCATTTATTAATCTTAGTTAATGTTAATCTCAACATTTTCTAAGACATTTTTAAGATCCAAAATTGATGATTACAAATACAAATAACTGCTATATTATTTTCATATACATTATTATAAATAGTCTCTATTCATTTTGGTGGACTTATTAACATTATTGTAAATGGAACATTATAAACATCATAACTTGCACTGGAAACTTAAAATGCAGTAAATCAAATGACCTATATTTGTATTAAATAGTTTTTTAAAAACATTTTTACAGATAAGCCTTGCATTGCAACACTGTCATTCATTAAATATTGCACATCGAGACCTGAAACCGGAGAACCTGCTCTTCAAGGATAATTCCCTGGTAAGACCTGAAACCAAAATAATGTTTTGTTCCATTCATTAAAGTGTGACTGAATTGTTACTCCAGGGATGATCTTGGTCATTTCTGACAGAATAGAAATGCTGCTTATAAAAAATATTGATGTGTTTTAAATGCATGTGATTTAATATGGAATGTTTGTAGCTCAATCACATTGCTATCTACATTAATAATTCGTCATACCACTGTTATTTTGTTAGTTAGAATTGAGACATTTTTTTATTTCCAGAATGCATGAATTTTTACAATCCTAACCTTTATAAAATTATTTTTTTTTAATTCTCATCACGTGAATTTTCTAACTTTAAGATTGTTCTGAACTAAGCAAGTTATTCCAGTAATCAGTAAGGACAATTCATTTTACCACTGTTATTTTGTTAGTCAGAATTGAGAGATATTGATAGATGACTCATTTATATAACACGTCATAGCACAGTGCATTTTTCATTTCCAGAATGCATATAAAGATATATAACATGTCATATCACAGTGCATTTTTTATTTCCAGAATGCATATAAAGATATATAACATGTCATATCACAGTGCATTTTTCGTTTCCAGAATGCATATAAAGATAACTCGTTTATATAACATGTCATATCACAGTGCATTTTTTATTTCCAGAATGCATATAAAGATAACTCGTTTATATAACATGTCATATCACAGTGCATTTTTCATTTCCAGAATGCATATAAAGATAACTCGTTTATATAACATGTCATATCACAGTGCATTTTTTATTTCCAGAATGCATATAAAGATATATAACATGTCATATCACAGTGCATTTTTCATTTCCAGAATGCATATAAAGATAACTCGTTTATATAACATGTCATATCACAGTGCATTTTTTATTTCCAGAATGCATATAAAGATATATAACATGTCATATCACAGTGCATTTTTCGTTTCCAGAATGCATGTATTGTTACAATCCTAACCTGTATAAAAAAATATTTTTTTAAATTCTCATCCCGTAATTATTTCTAACTTTAAGATATTTCTCAATGAAGCAAGTTATTCCAATAATCAGTAAGGATATTTCCACTATTATATTGTTGAGTCCTGTTTCTTATGCCCCATCAGGACGCCCCTGTTAAACTGTGTGATTTTGGTTTTGCCAAAATCGACCAAGGTGATCTAATGACCCCACAGTTCACTCCATACTACGTAGCACCGCAGGTAAGACCTCATTGTCCTCTTATAGATGTAAACTGTTCTCTTTACTTTTTAAGGATCGTACTATATCATCAATTCCCGTTTCCTTAATCTTTCCAAATAGTTGAATTCAAAACTTCCTACCTGGTCCAATTTAAATGAACTGCATAGTCTGGAAAAACATGTCACAGCAAAATAATGAGATCACTATAAAGAAGTGTATTTTTTATTAATGACTAACTGTATTAATTATCCTACTTATTAGTTGGCTATTTACCTAAGTTATGTAGAAATAAAATATTGATTTGAGTTCAAAATGTATTATTTTAAAGCCTCTTCTAAATAATAATTGGTCTGCTATTGAAACATATGAAACAGTCCTAGCAACAAGACGAACACTGCATGAATATATAAATACAGTAATATTTATACTGATGTCGTCTGTGGTCATATTCATAGCACTCGATACCTGTGTCAATCAAGTTTGCTTCGATTTATGTGTTGAGCTCTACACATGTGCACTGTTTACATGTGATCGTCATATAAAGAGATAATCCGATTTAATTGTGTCTCTCTTCAGAAGACTTGAAATAAACAGCACAAAACTTATTTATTATGTGATCTAACCTTCTTTAATAGGTGCTGGAGGCACAAAGACGGCACCAGAAAGAAAAGTCTGGAATAATACCTACCTCACCCACCCCTTACACTTACAACAAGGTATACCTTATGCTTCTCAGTGTTGCTTGTTCTTTCAGTATTTTACACTTAAAGCCAAGTTTTAAGATCGTTTCGGATGAAATATAACAGTTAAGATTGAAATCTGCTGGCCCGAGAATTTTTTGGTTTCTGTGTTAGCTGAAACTTGGAAAAGGTGGAAACTTTTGGTACTGCGCCCAAATAAAATCTTGCTCAAAGCAATTTTTTTTTAAAAAGATTTCAGCCTCAAATTTTGAAAACAACTTGTTTAGGTTTATGCCTTTTTGATTTTTAAGTTTTATGAGTAAAATGTTTTGGAAAATATATATTTCATATAGAAATTGAAAAGTATTTTGGTGCATTTTTCCATTATAAACTTCCCCTAAAAATACACACAAAAATATATATTTTACTAAAATTCATCCTTTTTATTATATTTCACTATTTGTAATTAGACAACTGACTTGATGGCCAATGGTCATTTTTAGTGTCTATTATCCACTATCTTATTCTTGCTATAAAGTTTTTGAACCCTTTGAAAATATCTGGATTTCAGTGTTTCTTACTCTTAAAATTATTGTGAGGTGGTCCTCATCAATTATAAACAAACATTTAAGCTGCTCCTACAACAATTATTGAGGCGGATAATTTATATAAATACAATTTTTAATCAATGGCCTTTAAATTCATAAATAAAATGGCTTTGCTACTAAAAGCTTTTTTTTTTTTTTGGTCCTTTTAATCTTTTAGATAATCTTTTTCAACAACCCCCAGTCAATGTGTAAACCGAGGATATTCTCTCATTAATAAACTTAAGTTTGTTGCCAAAGTTTCATAAGATTATGCTTAAAAACGTCACACTTTTGACTGCGATCTACTCATGCAGTCTTTGTTCACACGACTTATCGGCTGAAGGTGTTTAGCTTGCTAGCTGTGAAGATTCCTCCTTACTTCATGTTCATTTCCGCTCTTAGAGCTGTGACCTATGGTCCTTGGGGGTGATCGTCTACGTAATGCTCTGCGGATATCCTCCGTTTTACTCCAAACATCACAGCCGCACAATCCCAAAAGACATGCGCAAAAAAATCATGACGGGCAGCTTCGACTTCCCAGAGGAGGAGTGGAGTCAAATATCTGAAATGGCCAAGGACATTGTCCGCAAGTGAGTCCGCATCTTTTCATTTACGTTCTGTTTTATTCCTCCTTATTCAAGTGCCAAAAACGTGTATTGAATCTTTTACTGTTTATGTTCTGTCTGGGAGTCAATGGCAGCAAATTTAAAATGTTCTGAAATTTGCCACAATTATCAGGGTGGATTTTATTTTAATATCACTTTCTCAAATCCTCTAGTGCCACTAACAGGAAATGTAAATGAATTGAAAGCTGTGAAAACAGTAGATTTTTCCCTTTGATTCCTCGTCACACCGAGTTCAGTGATCGAGTCTTAAAATCCTTCATGTTTCATGACTTTGTCATTGGCAGAATACCCTTATCAATTTAGTTGACAGCACCACTTATTGGTTATAAGTTGTGATGCTGCTTGCATCTTAATTCTCAGTTGAGATTGTTTAAGTCATGGTTTTGAGGGAGAATAATCTGGCCTCAACTGAATGATAAGAGATCCAGAGTGCAATAAATAAATGACGTTTTAGTGGTGTAAGCCAATGCTTTGTTTCTCACATTTTGTAGAAACAAGATCTAACATATTGTGTTGCATTAAGGCTACTTAAAGTAAAGCCGGAGGAGAGACTAACCATAGAGGGAGTATTAGCCCATCCCTGGCTCAACTGCACTGAGGCACTGGACAATGTGCTTCCCTCTGCTCAAATGATGATGGACAAGGTGAGCTCCAAAGAAAGACCAGATTTAGGGTGTGTTCACACTTGGCAGGTTTAGTTTGATGAAAACAAACTCTGGTGGGATTGCTCTGTTTGTGAGGTTCATTTGAATAAGTGTGACGCTGCCATCGCAGGGATCTCAGACCGCTTCCAAACGAACCACAAGTTATGACCGAAATATGAACGCAACATGGACCAAAGACAAGATGCGAGCCTATAAATGACAGAAAGCTCAAGCTGGTTCCTCTACGTTGCCCATCACCGTTCGGTACAGGCGTCAAAAACGCGTCTCCTCGCCGCAGATCTTCATTTGTGTGCGTGATGGAGGGATTCCCGATGCTGTTTTTACTCCTTTACACATTTTATAAGCTCTTTGTGAGTTCTCAGCTGCTAAAAATACCATCATATGCACACACATACAGTTGTAAATATGGTAAATATGATCAAAGATGGCCTGCATTGTTTATCCTTATGATCTTTCATTCAAAAAATTCGCAAAAATCGAACATTTCATGTGAAAGTGGAGGGAAATCACATTATGAAATGAATGCCCTTCTCCAACACATTGGCCACAATTATTGGCACCCTTTTATTAACCTTCAAATGGTCTTGGTTTCTTGTTTACACTTTTGGTCTTCGAGGTCTATACGACCCGAGTAATTGCACAAAAAATATACATTTTGAATCATACAAATAATATATCATTTTGTTTTTTTTTTACTTCTCATGTATTAATTAATTTTTGGAGATATAAACTACTTTTGTATCCATATACACCATTAGCTTTAGAATTAGCATATGAAATATTATTTTTTTATGATGCATTGCATTTATGCTCTAGTACTAGGCCTTCATTTCTGTGTAAAAATTTTCAGATTTATGCCAGTTTTTTTTTTTTTGACACATCAAGAAAATATATATATATATATAAAAAAAATTTTTTCACATTTCCCATTCATTTCAATGTGGGGTCATATTGACCCCGAAGACCAGAAGTGTAAACATTTTTTTACATACCTTCAGAACAACCGAATCAAGCCCAGTTTTATTTTTGTGTAATGTATGAAAAGTCACAAAATCTTATTCCACTGAGATGAAGGAACCTTTTTTTTATTAAGTAAAATTCGATTTTGGGTCATATAAGACCCCATGAACCGGTTAAATA